AAAAAAAAAAAAAAAAAAAAAAAAAAAAAAAAAAAGATCCAGAACATATCGCAGACACTTAGAAGAAGGAGAAAGGACAAAACTGCCATGCCTCGACCCACATTGAGTGAACAGTATTGCACTCCTGTTCCCCATTTATTGTAGACCATAGGATCGGAAATCTTACTGCCACGGCTAACATCAAAGGACCCCTAGGACCACCAGTGGCGGTTTCACAAATGGGGATTTTGGAATGCAGATCTCTTGCCAGAAGAAGATATTATTTCCTTATTCGGATGAGATGAGGGAATCCACAAACCAGAAAAAGAAGACCATGCTGTCCCCACCAGACACCGCCAGAGCGAGAAAACTTCCCTACTATACATGGAATCAACGGGTCTGGCCAGGGAAGGCAATGCGGTACTTCCAATTTTCCCACATAGGGCCATCCTTATGGCCCCTCCAGGGTACCAATTGACACCTTCCTTCCCTCTACCGCGTTTTTGATAGGTGCAGCTTCTCTCTTTTCTTTTTAATTTTCACTTGGGTGAGCCATTTTTTTAATCCTTTTTCCTTTTCTTTTCTTTATGCAGCCACATTTCTTTTGAATTTATTTATTTTTCATTTTAAGAAAAAAAAACTCTCTTGATACCTTGCGCGTCTATATCACATTGCACCACTGCCAAACGCAGGCTACTGCATCTGCAGCCACATTTCTTTTGAAATCCTTTTTTTTGTTTTAAATTTAAAGATAATAATGTTTGGCTTGTGCTCCACTTGCTTTCACTTGATGAAAATCTCAAGTTAAGCAGCGCTCCACTGCCAACAAAGGGAAAATTCCAAATTCCAAAATTCCCTTTCGAGTTTCGACAGAAACGGTGAAAATTCAGTTCTCCTGCTTTCGCCGCGATAGGCTGTGGATTCGGTTACACTCACATTGGGAACTGTGATCCACCATATCTTTTTGCATCATAAATGGTGGAATGCATCATGCCACAATTGTGGTCAAGGGGAAAATGAAGAGCCTGTTTTCTTCCATGTTGCTAGGCGCTGTTCTCGTAATTGGCGCGAAAGCGCCTGTAGGTGGAGCCCCAAATATATATCTACGACTATAGCGCCACACGTAAAAAAAAAAAAGAAAAAAAAAAAGAAGGAAAATTTCAACTTGAACCAGTGCCACAAGCCTTTGAAACCTTGCATTGCATCACCACACAGAACACATGCTCCCGCATGTGCACATGCCTCAGGTTCATCTTGCTTGCTGTGCCATCCGCCCATGCACGTGTGTGACCAAATGGCACACTTGGGACTACTACGGTCGCAAAAGCACATGTGGAACCACGAGTGCATCCACCGCTCATCGACTCGCCACCGCCGTACAAAGACCATGGTCAGCTCCACCCTACCGGACCAACAAAGCATGCAGGTGGTGGTCCCCCCCCCATCATGCGCAAACCATGCCATAAGCCATTCAGCAGCTTATGCAGCATGTTCATGAACACACTGAAACACCACAGAGTTCTTCACCCATTTTAGAAAGTCCTCATTTTGGCATATTGCACCATTCCGCAAAGTGACCAGAGAGTTCTGCCGCTCCACCAAAATTTTGAAAAACTTCCAAAAATGATGAAATGGCAGAAGCATAATATATAACCGTCGCAATTCAAGTACGGGGGCACTGAACAGGGTCCAGTCTAGGAAGGGAGTGTACAATTCAGCAAAAGTACCCAAACCCAAGGTCCATCTGCCCAGATTCTCTATTTCCAGCCGTTGATCCTTGTAACGTATTTTCCACAGGGTACGATCTGCAACAGAGAATTGAGGCAAGTGGAACGTCTCCCAAGAGGGGGGGGAGGAGGGGGGGGAAGGGGGGGGAAGGGGAGGGGGGGAAGGGGATGGGGGGAGCTGATGAAGAGTCCATTCAACAGATAACCGCAGGCAGAACCAACAGCGAAAATAGACTGCTTAAAATAGAAACACATTTTGGAGGTGGAGTCAAGCCTGCATATGTGAAACATTCCATGCCATTCAGCAAGGGAGCACCACAGCACCCTGACACCTTCAAAAAAGGAAAGACCCGTTTTGGAAAATGTGTGCTGCACCAAACTGACAGTGCTTCTAGAATGTACAGTTGGATGGAGGAACTCTCTCTCTCTCTCTCTCTCTCTCTCTCTCTCTCTCTCTCTCTCTCTCTCTCTCTCTCTCTCTCTCTCTCTCTCTCTCTCT